AATTGAGAATTCTCTCTACGTCTCTCTCTATCTCTCAATCCCTAATTCCAGTAATGTAAAGCAAAGGAAAAGAGAGCAGCAATTCTACCATTGACAGCCATTAAAAAGCTTTGAATTCGAATTAGGTTTTTAAAAATCATTATTTATTTGGATTGGGTGTTGTTGCAAACAATTGGCAATATGGTTTTTGAAGTTTATATCTCAATTTTGAGGGTGTTTTGGTGAAGATTAGACCTGATTTTGGCTAAATTTCAGACTGAAACTCGAAAAAGAAGAAGAAGACATGACATACATTATACTGCAGAAATTGTAGTAAAGTTATAGTAAAATTGTAGAAAAATTATATTCTGTTATTTATATATATTTTTTATTTAAGTATTGTATGAAAGTTGATTAATATTGCATAAAAATTGTATTTAAGCTATATGATATTGTAGTTGTATATAACTGGGTAGAAATAATGTATGAAAGTTGTAGATAAGTTGTAAATAATTTGTAGATAAGTTGTATAATATATAATTAGTTGTTATGAAATTTGTTTTTACTATATATAAATCAAATACAAAATATACAAAAGACATATTGTATAAAATTTTATAAAAATTGTATTTAAGTTGTATGATATTTTAGATGTATTTAACTGGGAAAAAATAATGTATGAAAGTTGTAGATAAGTTGTAAATAAGTTGTATACTATAAAATTAGTTGTATAAAATTTATTTTTACTATGTAAGTTGTTGTAGATATTCAAATTTGCATCAAATTTGTACGAAATTTATTTTTAATTCGTATGCGAAGTACCATACATTGTTCTTTTCTGATTAGTTGATTTATTAAGGAAAGAAAAGTAGAGAATAAATTTCAAATCAACTCATGTGCACTGATTCATTTTTGTTTGAACGGAAAAATTTGAATATTGATGGGAATTGAATGATTTTGGTGGAGAAATTTCGAGTTTCACATTAAAAGCGCCACCGTCGCACTCTGGAGAAACTGAGTTTTATGTGAAATTTGAATTTTGTGTGAGAAATTAACTGGGCAACATAGATTCTTGTTAGAAATACTAATACAAAGTCGACTTTAAAGTTTGGAGGCGATTGAATTTAATTTTAAATTTGCTAAAACTTCAAATCTGCTCAATTATACTTGTTGATCCAACTGCGATTGGTGTTGTAGTTTGACAATGTTGTTACGAAATTGTTCAGTAAAAGCATAATAGAGCAATCTTATAACTGAAATTCTATTTGTCTTCAACTGCCGCGTATTTATTGCACAATATAATTTCTGTTGAAAGTTAGAGCTCCGCCTATATAACTAAGATTAAGAAACGATATATTCCCTCTTCTAGTGATTGTTCGCAAAATTAAGACTCCCAAAATATAGTTGTCATGACCCAGATTTCCCACCCTCGGGGGTCGTGATGGCGCCTACTCGTGAAAGCTAGGCAAGCCAATCAAATGAATTATTTACCTTGTTTTCATTTTAATTCGTTAACAATTAAGAACCAATATTTGATACAGAACAAAATTTAATAAGCGGAAGACTAAAATATAATATTTTAATAATGCTACCAATACCAATCCACAAACAAACTACCCGGAACTGGTGTCACAATTTCACAGACTGTCTAGGAATACTACAAATAAAGGTCTGAAAGATTAAAACGACACTGTCTCTGGAATACATGAAAGAAACAGAATGAATAGATAGAAGGAGACGCCAAGGCCCGCGGACGCCTATAGGACTACCTCGGGTCGCCTGGCGAACTAGGAGCAGCAACCTAACTGCGGTCCGAAAGCTACAACACTGGGATCTGCACAAAAGAGTGCAGAGTGTAGTATCAGCACAACCGACCCCATGTGCTGGTAAGTGCCTAGCCTAACCTCGGCGAAGTAGTGACGAGGCTAGGACCAGACTACCAAATAAACTTGTGCAGTTAAATCATATATAGCGGAAAAATAAAGGCAGAAATTTACAGGTAAACATAGGAGGGGGAAACATACTGCGGGGAAATCAAGTAACAACAGAAAACAGATGAATAACCGTAAAGAACACCATGACTCAATATCAACAATAATCAGGAAATTAAGACAAGTGCATGGCACCAACCTTCATGCTTTTACTCTCGTTCTCACCAAAAATCAATATAATCGGCACGGCATCACCCTTCGTGCTTTTACCTCACATAATCATGGCACGGAATGATCCTTCGTGCATTATCACTCATATAAAGGCACGGAATGGTACATCGTGCGGCACGGCATTACCCTTCGTGCATTAACACTCTCTCACCAATATCGTGCACGGCATCACCCTTCGTGCTTTAACACTCTCTCACCAAAATAATGCACGGCATCACCCTTCGTGCTTTAACACTCTTCCTCACCCAAACAACAATCACAAACAATAAGGGCAAGAAAATAAATAATATCACACTAAAAATTCCGGCAAGGGAACAATAGCACAACAATTATATCCCGGCAAGGGAAACAATATCAAAAGCAACAACATCCCGGAAAGGGAGAAAATCTTTAAAAGCAACAACATCCCGGCAAGGGAGATAACATTAAAAGCAATAACATCCCGGCAAGGGAGACAATATCATAATCATCTTCTCTTTTTTCACATTTACTTCACAACTTGAGCCAATGCTCTATGTTGATACCCAATTTTTTCCTATATATTTTAATATGCAAAATACTTTCAAAATAGCATATATAGGTATGTCCAAATATTTTATTATTTTTCCTTAATTTTTAAAAGATTTCTTAAATCAATTTATTGCCCCATTTTATCCAGAAAAGCCCAATAATTACTCCCAACATTATTATTTTGGTGATTTATTTATTGGACTCTCATATTTATACTAAAATATAGATAACATAATTTTTGCACATTTTTACAAATTTATTTAGTATTTTAAAAGATAAATTGCATATAATTGCAATATTAGCCTCTTTTAAGGTTTAATTGTGTTTATAATTATAAAATTGACTCCAGTATTTTTTAATTTGATAATTACGTATTATTAATCATTTTAGTACCTTTAATTTATTTTCAGAAATTATTCTACTATTCTTTCTAAAACAAATAAAGGAAAAATAGCTATTTAAATGTTAGCCCCGTTTATTTCAATTTTAGCCTTATTTGAGCCTGATTTTGAACCCTATTTTTAAAACCCAATCACCCAGCCCAAATCCTAGGCCTACCCGACCCACGACCATTTTTAAACAACCCGCCCGGATTCCCATTCAATCCAAGCCGTTGATCAAAATGATCAATGGCCGCCATTAAACATTTCCTTTTTTAATTCCCAATTACCCCCAAACCCTAGTCATTTCTCATCTGCAGCCGCCTTCAAACCTTCCTTCTCTCTCAATTCACTCTCAATCCCCTCTCAAACCCTAGCCGCCGCCCTCAACTACCACCTGATAATCTCACAAATCCATGACTTCCAAAGCCATTGAAGACCTGTATCTACCTCCTATGACTCCTAGATGCTCGATTATCATAGTTTCAAGGCCAGACTTGAAGAAGCTTGGCCCAGACTTTGTTCATTTTCAGTTCTATGGCTGTTTCCGGTCATCTCTGACTTTGCTCCGGCCAGCCATGGCTATTCAAGCCTGATTCTTGACTTCTCCTGCTTAGACCGATGTTTTTCCAAGCCTTTATCACCATCTGGGTTTCTTTTGAAACCCTAACCTTTGAGGTTCTTCTGTTTCTTTTAGATCTGTTTTAGATCTGTGTTTACTCTAAGCTTCTGAACATTTTTTTTAAGGTTTCTTTCAAAACTTTACCTTCTGAACCTTTCTCTTTTCCGATTTAGGGTTTTGTTTAGTTATTTCGAAGCTTTCTCTGATTTTTTACGTGTGTCTTTATGTTGTTCTTCTGTTGGAATGTGCATGATAAAGGTCTTAGTTACTTTTTGAGATTTTCTAAATTTATTTTGTTAGTATTCTGTCAAATTTACTTGTCTTTCATCTCTATACTCGACTGATGGTGAAAACCCTAAAATTTGGGGTTCATTCGATTTCTGAGATTACCTGCTATGTGATTTACTTGTTCGTCATGCTCTGAATTCGATTGGTTTCAAAACCCTAATTTGCTTTAGACCTATTCGAGTTGCTTCATCTATGCTCGACTGAATTTCGAAATCTTTTGTTTCTTTATGTGATTTTGACTTCCTGCTAAACTTTTCTATAAGGTCTTTTTACTTGACCCCTTTGCATGCTATTTGATACTCCCTCCTTTTCTCTATTACAAAGTTACTAAAATCACTTATGTGACTACCGTGTGCACTAGCTACTGACTCTGTGCTTGCTATTGCATGATGTTTCTCTTTCGCATGAGTTCAGCCTCGCATGCTTAATGTTTATGCACTCTTTTATATGCTAAATTTCCCTCTAAAATGACCTTCAATTTTGGGCTGATTNTATATATATTTATTAGCCACTGTCTAGTGGTATATTTGCTAAAAAAAAAAAAAAACTCACGCTTTAACGTTTCTCAATTTATCAATTTCATCTAATTGTACTTTGACTGGATTTTTTTCCATATAAAAGGATGCGCTAAGACGTTAAACAAACTATATAAAGAATGGTCCCTCTTTAAAAGTCTGATCTTTAGATAAGGTAGCTTCCATAATTTAATAGCTTCTTTTGACTTTGACTTCTTCTTTAAGAAAGAACTGCCGAATTTGTTGAAAATCTATTTCACGAATGTGACGGACAACAGCAACAGGACAGTTGTGTTTAATTGGTATTTAATTCCAGTATACATGCTTGGCTGCATTTTCCATCTTGTTTTAATATTCTTGAATATAGTCTCAAGATTCTACTGACATGTCACATCATTCTTTTACACATTAAGAAAAATTAATAATAAGAATTATTTGACTAATTCTTCCTTATTTTTTATATCGCTTGATCTTTCACTATATATGCTCACCCCATTAACGCCCCTTCTTCATCAATTGGGTGGAGTGGAGAAAAATAAGTAAAGCTTTATTATTTTTTAACAAAAAATTAGACGCTCTTTTTAATAAATGAAAAAATTAACAAAAATTAGACGCTCTTAATGAAAAGAAAAACGCTCTTCTCTCCTCTTCTTTCCATGCTTATTCATTCAACCAAAATCAACCCCTCAATAAACCTAGAATAAACCCTTTAATTTTTGCTCCTAGAATTTATTTTTTTCACATGTCGAATAGTATGTTTATTTATTTACCAAAGAAGCAAGGTGGTATCTTTTTTTTTTCCCTATTGCATTTTCAGGAAATTACAAGGGAACTAAAAATAACATTCTGTAGCATAAGCTGGTAGACTTTTCTTACACTGATCAATAATATTTTCAGACTCAATAGGGTTGAAAATTATACATTCGCCCATCCAAAAGTCAAAAAATGACTTATACTACGAAATATTTTTCTTAAATTCTGTCATACTGAACCCACACATAATTTATGGATAAGCTGATTCCACCCTTTGGACTTGCTATAAAAAAAATCATATTTGGAGGCAAAGTGGAACAAGATATATAGGTATATAGTGAAGCCTAGGCGAGGAAATTAAAAATGTCTATCAACAAGAACAAAGTTACATGGCCTCTGTTAATGCTGGTTTTCTTTGTACTCTGCATGAATTCGTGGTGTGAATATGGTGAAGCATCAAGAATCTTCTTAGACTTCTCTGCAATTCCAGGTGTTGTATATCTTCCCTTTTACACTTGATCTCTCCTTTTGATTTTAGACAGAACTCTGTGTGTGTGTGTGTGTGTGTGTGTGTTAAAAGTATGTGTTTTAGACATTTGAATGTGTTGTGAAATCGTAATTGGCAGTGACGCAAAGGCTGGGCGGACTAGACCGCAGCAACCGCCGGAGCACCAGGGAGTCGCCGGGAGGGAGCTATCCTGCTCCGGCAGCTAATGTAAATGACCATGTACATCACTAGCTACTGTTTGATGGATTATGTATGTAACTGGATCAACATATATATGGTGACCTCTATTTTGTTATGGGCTTCCCACTTATATAATAAGAAGACATTGTTTGTCTGTGTTTAAGATATTTTTCTATGAAAGCAATGAGAATAAATTTTACTTAGTTTGTCTTCTTAATAACTACAGTACATCTTTTCCTGAATCTTTCCATGGAGATCGAGTTAAAAATTAAAGAGTTACTTCATGAGATGAACACAGAAGGAAACGGATGATTATAATAAAGAGAAGATAGAGAGAGAAAAAAAACATTGAGTTCATATTTTACTCGACCTAATATTCTATTCAACCTTCAAAAACTTACAGCAAGTAACATAATCAATAGAATTTTTCTTTTTTCCTTTAAATGAGGAACGTAACATTCAGAAGCTAAAAATTCTTTCCCATGATTAAAGAGGTGTTTATGAAATGGTCAGTTTTTATTTGGATGAGTAGTTTTTCAACGAGTTTTTCTTCCCTCCTATCTTTTCTTAATTTTATAGTTCCTTAGTTCTAGGGTTAGGGTGCTCCATGTACGTTGAGGTTGGAAGCTTGGAGTTATTATTATTTTATATTTATATAATTATCTTGATCAGCAATTGAATATTCCCTTTGGTCCATATAATTACGAATTTTGATACAAAACCCGTCCAAATCACCTCCAGTCTTCCTCAAATTTTGTATATTGACTTATGTACATATTTTCAGAATTTCAACTATACCCATTGAAAAAGTTCCTTTTTCGTTTAGATTTTTGAAAAATTGTATAGATTTTTGTATTTCATCATCTTATTTGCTACCCCGTCCATGAAATTTTCTTTCCGTCTTGTATCTAATGTTGCTAATCACGCTTAAAAATATGGAAGGTGATTTTTGCATGTGGTTCTTTGAGAGAAAGAACCCTATTATTTGGTTTTTCAATTTTTGTTGGCTAGTTTTGGTAAGTCTATGACTAATGGCTAGAGATTGGTAAGTTGAAATTTATTTGGGACATTTGTGTAAGTTTCTCCTTTTCAATTTCTCTAAACAAGCATAGTCACACACCTAAATGTTCCCTTCCCCTTTCAAAAACACTCATAGTTAAGTCTTTTTAATGGATGATGAAAACCCAATACAAACCCATGTATTACATTTTAGAATTTTCTATATAAATTTTAAAAGACAAGTTTTCATATTGTTTTAAATGATTTTCATTCCAAAATCCTCTTTCTATATTAATATATTTCAAATTTCTCTCGTATAAATATTTTTTTAATCAAACGCTTTCTTTTCGTGTATTTATTTGTATTTTTTAACTCATGTGTTGTTGTGGTTATATATTAAGCTTCTTGGATCAAATATTGCTTATAGTACATTTAGAAAGTTCATAGTGAAATTTGGTCGCATTTGGAGCTGGTTTGAGGTACTCGAGAAGGAATTTTTCAGCTGAAATTTAAAGAAGACTACAGTTACCCAATAATATACCGCCACGATATATAATATACTATAAGAATATATAATTATACTGCAACAATATATTGTAATAGCATATAATATACTGCAACGATATACTATAATAATATATAATATACTGTAATAATATACAATATACTTAACAACATACTTTAATTGCTATTATTTTATCATCTGGGTGCTATTGTACAAAGCTAAAATTATAGTTATAGTCCAAATTTGGTGGCTGATAATTGAAGAAAAATAAAAGAAAGAATTACAGCCCTTGTCACTTGGCCTAACAGCCCAACCGAAAATGGTCTAGATTTGAAGCTCTTACCCTATTTAACCCATATTGTACATAACTTGAAAGAAATTTTTTTAGCCTTTAACCCATTATTAAAGACACATTTATAGGATTTTTATTATTTTCTTCTTTCTTCATTCCCAGCACACCAAATTCTCTCTCACCGCCTCTGCTTCTTTCTTTCCAACCCACATAGATCCCTCATCCTCTCTTAACCTAGCCCCCGTTATTCCTCCTCACATGCCCCCTACGCAGTTCTTCCATCAATGGCTCGAAGAAGGCTCGGGCTCCTACTCCGTGTCCGTGGTGGCAAGCAAAAGAATATTGAAGATTTTTGAAATTGGGTCTGACTCTTTGCAGTTTCAAACCTTAATTTCCAATGTCTGGTCGAGCACCGAGGAGAAAAGATCGGAAGCTAAATCAATCTTCAACACGATGAAGCAGAAAGCTCTAGACTTGCTTGTTCTTAAGCTTGTTGACCTTCTTGGCTCATCGCAAGTTATTGATTCCCGTGATATGTGTGTTGTCCTTCTTGAAGTCTCGAATCTGAAATTGGGTGTATCATATCTGTGAGTTGAATTCCGAATCGTTGGCGCAAAATTGCTAACCTATAGACGAGTTGAATCATCCAATACCTTCTACTACAACTCGAGGCTTGGATAAAAATGATAACTATGTAGCAGTTTGTATAAACATTGTATAATAGTATATAATTGTGTATATGAATATACAAACACCTCTTATACACTATTATACATGCTTATACAAGTTATACAGTATTGTATAATTGTGTATAAATGTGTATATTTGTGTATAATGTTGTATAATTATATATTTTTTTTCAGTTTATAAGGATGTATATACATTGTTAGTGTGTAAGAGGCCTCTACGGAAGTTTGACACTTCTTTCTCTTCTTCTTTTTCGTGTATGTGCTGTATAAAAAAGTTTTGTACGCGTTGGAGGGATCTACAATTCATTTACCAAGGTTTTAGTTTTCTTTTATTCTGTTGGATTGCTTCAGCAATTGCATATAATAGTGTATGAAAACAACAGGTTGTATAAAGAGGGAGCAATAACCGTAGTTGATTGTGTGAAATAAGTTGTCTTTCGGGAATTAGCCTATTATTTTTGGGCTATAGATTTACAAAGTGATATATAAGCTATTATGTTGCAAGTCAGGTGTGTGAGTTGTATTTATGTGAAATTATCCCAAACAAAACTAGTCCACCATTAAAGGAGCTTTGAAGCTTTTGGTTTCGGAATTGAAGATTTAATAAGTGTTGGACTTTGAATGCGGGTGGATATTATTAAAACTTATTGCACAAATATTTGTAAGAATTTGATTATAAACTTTGAGTTCATTTGAAGTTGATTTGAGGTGGATTTGGTCGAAAATTTCAAGCTAAAGATCTCCTCCAGCACTTAGTCTCTAATTTTAAGTTATATAAATTTCTGTGGGAGGCATAGTTGAATTCATATTATATGTTCTCCTTGTAACCTTGTTCATTTTTGCTTAGTCATTGTGATTTGGAGGCATCTGGTTTGGTCCATTCTTCCTTCCTTGAGGTTATATACAATAGGTATATAATTTGTATAGCTTGTGGGTAGGAATTCTTTATGGGTGGAAGCGGGTAATTTTTTGTTTTTATTTTGTTTTTATAGGTATTCCTGATACTCCCTTGTTGAACCTGAAAATCGGAAAACGGATTCTTGATTAGGATAGGAATATATGTAATCGTCTTGATTGGTTACTATAGAGGAATTATTAATGCGTTCTTGTTAATTCTAACTCCCCAGAAATAAAAGTATTCGGTTAGCTTGAATAGGCGAGAGTACTTCGGAAGAATGCTACAAGTAATATTAACCATGTCATCCAATAAACTAGATAAATTAATTAGTCAATTTTACTGTAAATACTGAAGAGGTAGTCATACAGATTAAGAAAGAAGTTACAGAAAAATAGATTTACTTAACTATCACAGAATGCTTACAGATCTAGAAGGTTTTTTTTTTTTTTTTTTTTTTTTTTTGCAAAAGTTACTACGTAATTATTGTTTGCTTAAAGGCTTAATATTCGTAGCACCCTTCCTAGAACGTGATTATGAAATTAAGTGCTCTTTAGTGTGGGATCCATCCCTATAAATGAAATAAAAGGGAAAAAATAAAGAAGGAAACAGATGCCAAATCTAATGGCCAAATCTAGATTTGGAAACAATTTGCAAAAAGCAACTCGGCAAGTTGGCAACAACAACTTGCAAACCAATCAATTTGATTGGTTGGAGTGGACGGTCACTCTTCCTGTAAGAGGAAGGTTTCAGCTTCTCATTTCTTACACCAAAACTCATAGAGAAATATATTTGAAAGCAGTGTGAGGTATTTACAGGCGGTGCAGCGAGGGAAAATAAAGAGTGTGAGCGACATTGTAGTGATATGGGAATATTAAAAGAGAGTTCTTTTTTTTGAGTATGTAGTCCTAGAGTATTTTACTTGGGAGTACTGGATGTAAAATTTCTTATTATAGTAGATTATTTTGCTCCTCACGGGCCCGTAATCTTTTCCCTTATTCACAAGGGGTTTCCACTTTAAAATCTTTGTGTCCTTGTTGTTCTTTTTATTCTTGTTGATTACCTATCGCAATGCTACGTTATTACTCCGCTGTCATTATCGTAAATATTATTTTTGTGGGGAGTTTATTCCCAACATTTAGGTGTATTCTTTTTTTGTTGGCAATGGTAATATGTGCACAATTATTACAACAACAGTAACAACAACAAAAACAAAACAAAAAAACTCATGTTGTTGCTCGATTAGCGAGTCAATTTATTTTAACCCGCTCAATATAAAACTGTGCGATCATCCGCAATTCGAATTCTGCATTACAGTTGACACTTGACGACCTTTGCTACATACGCGAGCCCTTTGCTTGGAGGGGAATTAACTTTCCCAACTTTTGCACTTTAGCCCGTCAGCAGGCTATGCTTATTCCAGTTACTCGGCGACGTTAAGCTGGCCAACCAGCAAACCTTTGCACCCGCGCAATTGCCTTAACGCTGGGGCAATGTTTGCTGGCTTTATGGCAAATCCATGCAAACACAAGTGATCTCTTATCCCCATTGTTACGCCAAGAAACCATTTCGACAACATGGGTTGGCGGGCGGACAGGAAAAGGGGAGGGCATGAGGGGTTGAGTGAATTTCAATCAAACACAAAAGATCTATGAAACACTATACACATTTGGTAATGTCAAATATTACAAGGAGAAATCAAAGAAGAAAGACAAGTCCCATATTACTGATGTTTGATTATATTTGAGCAGATATTAACAATAAAACAAACAAATTGAATAAACCTCTCAATGTTAAGACGCTAAACACAAATAAATAACCAC